CAATAAAAAGAGTAAAAGAGACGTTAAGACGTCTCTGTGAAAATATTGAAATTATGGAAAAACCAAAAATCTAATGAGATAATGTGAAGTTTTCGTTTTTTTAATTTAAATGAGACAACTTAAATCAATTTCAACGAATTCGTAGTAAATTTTAAAAAAAAGTAGTTAAAGATTTTGACATTTTTTGAGGCTGTGTGATGATTGATTTGAGAAAAATATGAATAAAATATTTTCTTAATTTCCTTTTTCTTTTTTTTCCCAAATATATATGAGGAAATTTTGCATAAAAATTAGTTATTTGATAAATTGTTAAATTTCAAGCAAAATTAAAGGAAGAAACGAAGAAATGATTTCAATGAATTCCTGAAAAGAACTCATCCCTAAAATATTTTTCTGAATTTGTTAAAAAAAAAAAGAATTGAATCTTAAAAAAGAGAGGAGAATGAATATTTATACGAATGCTGAAAGACATCATAAATTGCAGTAGATTGACTCATTAAAGAAGTCATTCGTCACAGTATTTATGAGAAGAGTTCGTTCACAACAAATAATAAATTAATTTTGATGTGATTTTCTTGTTCGAAGGCTAAAATGAAAAAAGAAAAAAAAAACAAAAGGAAAACAAGAAAATTTTATTTAACGAATTGAAAATTCCAAAATTTTTCCTTTAAAATTACTTTGGCGTAAATTCAATCGAAAATAGTCGAATTTAAAAAATTTCAATTTCAAAGGATACTTCAATAATTAAAGAAAACTTGCATTTCTCAGATGTTTCGTAATTAATCATATAACATGTATTTCATATATGTTGTTTAATACAATCATTCTGAATATTCAAAAAATTGAATTAATTAATTAATCAGCTTATTAGTGATCGTTGGCTTTTCTTTCTTTTTGTGTTTTTTCCCATTTTTGCACTTTTTTTTCGATTTTTAAAAAGGATTTTAAATCAGTTTGTTAAAAAAAACTTCTTTACGAAGATCAAAAATTAAGTTTTCTTTTTTTTCTTTTTTTTTTAGAATATCAAAAAGACTGATAGCTCTGATAACGTTGACTAAATTCATTGTCATTGATCAATGAAGAATAAAATTTCATTTGAAAATTAAGCATTTTTAATCCATTCATCTTACTATCCATCAGCTTCTTTTAAATTTTTTTTTTGCATGCTTTTCTAAATCAATCTATTTTTTAAAGTTAAACCAAATATTTCATTAACGATACTCTTTGATGATCTTTTCTATTGCTGATTTTAAATGAAGCATTTTTTGGAAGAGAATTTTCCAGAAAGTTTTTCAATACCAAATTTTGTTTACTTTGTTTTCTTTTCTCTCTCTCTCTCTCTCTTTCTCTTTGTTAACAAAAAAAAAAAATAAGAAATTTTCATGACATTCCTTAGTTTGATCGTATTTCCCTTGAGTATAATTGTTTTTGTCATCATTAAGTGCTTTTGAGCTCCTTTTTTTCCATTTTAGAAATTTGTAAAATCACTAATTTAATTTTAAATAAATTCAAAAAACTTATTCTTTAATTTTGAACTTAATCAATTTCTCCATTCCTATATTTCCTCCGATGAATAATGAATGATCAACAATTTGATATTAGAGATAATCACTTTTATGAACTGATAATGTTGGATAAAAAAGAAAATATTGTCACTTTAATGATATCACTACACAATAAGTTATTCTTTCATAGCAAATAGCTAAGAGCTCTAGCTTTGCCAAAAAATATTATCGAGATAGGGCAGGATTCAGATGATGGCAAGCAGAGGAGTTATGCTACAATACAATCATAGCCATATAATAATCGTACAGTGATGTTCACTTACGGTATAATCATAATCGTATGATCATACTGTAATGTCCATTTATGCATAGTATAGTCACTGTAAATGAATATTGGTTGTACGGTCATGACTCATTCATATACGTTACAGTATTGACCGTATAACCGTATATTTATCCTTATTTTACTGACAGTATAATTAAACTTGTCGTCACATAAATTCGTTTCAGAATTAGGTATATTTAATAATAGACAACAGCGCCACTTAACATTGCGAAAATATTTTAATGCAATTTTTTAAAATCGGACTCAATCACGATACTAAATAATTCTTCCATTTTTGCTTACTTTTATTTTTCTTTTTCTGTATCATTCTCTTCTCTTTCCCTCTCTCTCCCCCCTCTCTTTATCTCTTTTATCTTTTATAAAATAATAAAAATATTTTCCGATGGATTTTACAAAAATTTGGCCGTTATTTTAACAAAACAGTGCATTGTTCATTCATTTTATTATTTATTTATTGTAAATACTTAATTGAAATTAGTTTAAAATTACTGTCTCTCTCTCTCTTCCTCCTCTCTCTCCTTTCTTAAAACCCTTTCTCTTATGAACAAAAAAAAAAGTCCTTAAATAGTTAATTAACTGACAACCTCTTTTTTTTGTTTAAAGAAAACAAAGAGGAAGTGAATGTGCAATCTACTGAATTGTTTAATTGAAGCTTTTTTTTTAAAGTTTCACTTTATTATGAAGTTTTTTAAAAAGTTTCCTTTTTATTTCAGAAAGAAAAAAACTAAGCGAACAGTTTTAAACATTTTAATATCTGATGGTGTTAATGAATAGGCTTTCATTAACACTTAACAATGATATGATTAGGCTATGAATGGTAGACGCAAAAAAAAAAAGAACAATGACTGTCACTTTTGAACATTGAATAGTATATGTGAAAAATGTCATTAAATAACTGCAATAACAGACGGACAATTTGATGTTTGATTTCAAAGTTAAATTTTAAAATGGTTTATGATCATTCTTTGTTGAAAAAATTTGCATAGCAAAGTTAATGAATCAAAATGATTTCACTAATCATTTATTAAAAACATATTATAAAACAATGATTGGTTGTAATATGAAATGATCATACAAGAGATGGGGCAATGATGGAAGAACTGGGATATTGCAGATGATAATTAGAAGAAAAAAAACAAATTTTAAATTTAGCTTCTTTTTTTTTAAATTTAGCTTTTTTTAAATTTATTTTTTTAAAAATTTTTAAATTCAAATTTATTTTTTTTTAGAAATTTTTAAATTTAGCTTTTTCTTACATGCTTTACCCGTCAACAATTTGCCGGAATCAATTGATTGAAATGATTTCCGGAAAAGATACAATTAGAATCTGTGCAGTAAATTTAATCATATCAATGAATAATTAAATCATTAATTTATGGGAAAAAATTATGATAGTTGAGATGAAATATTTTTTAACTTTTCAATATCACTAAGTTTTACATTTAATTGATTTATTGCAGGATAACTAGACTTTTTTTCTTTTTTCTAAAACTACTAAGCATATTATTAATTGCAAAGTAGTTAAAATGGAATGAATATGACATATGAAAGCAATAAGTAAATATGATTCAAATATTTTAAGATAATAAATCAAAAAAAAATCTTTAAAAGACTTACTTTAGATTTACTTTAAATTTTAAAAAAAACTTACTTTTCAGATTTTGAACCACCACAAATTAACCAATGCTTATTGATGAAACGTAATGAAGCAAGAACACTATTACGCATAATGGAATTCCATTTTGGTACCTTTTGAATATTTCCAAGTGATGCATTCGGATAATCCACCTGAAATCGTACCACACGAACAGCTGGTACTGTTTCTCGTATTGCAATTGTTTCATGTATTGCTGTTAATAATATACAGATATTAATAATATTGATCAAAAAATATTGTCGTTTATCGTAAATGGATATGTGATACATTGTTGTAGTAATAATTTTTAGAAATTTTATAAGTGTTAAGTAACAATAATAATAATAGTAGTAGTAGTAGTAGTAGTAGTAATAGTAATGGTAGTAGTAGTAATAGTAGTAGTGGTTGATAGTATTATCACCTTTGATGATATTTAAGTAGCAAAATTAACACCACCTCTTTTTCACGTTCTTTTTAAGTAAATTTTTGAAATGAGGGATTAATGGATGAAAGAAGAGAGAATTTTTCCGGTTCTCCTAACTCTCTCCTTTATCAATTTGTTTCGATGATCCATTAATGCATAAAATTCTTTTCATCCAAATATTGTTGGCATCATTTGTCGTTTGTTATATTCCTTGTCATGGATGTTGTTGTTGACCTGAATATTACGATTGCTGTTTATCTTCTTTTTCTTCTTCACAATCATCTCCTCCTATTTTATTAAAGGTGAAATTTAACAAATTCTAGAAAGGGAGATAGAGAAAGAAAAAATAAAAAGTAAGAAAAAGGAATCATTGATAAATGCATATTCATTTATTGTATATAACAAAATGTAAAAATTTTTTTTTAAAAAATCGCAAAATTATTGTCATTGTTTGATAATGACAGATTAAATTATTCTTTTTTTTTAATTTTATCAAAATGAGATTTATTCAATATTTAATTGATTATTGCATTCCAATGATATATATAACTAACTAATTTATCATTTTGAAATTCAATCTTCCCTTTCATCTTCATCAAATTCATCCGCATTTGTGGGATATTATTAATCGAATTGAAAAAGAAATCGAATAAGGAAAGATTGAAAAATGAATGAAAAAGTTTCTAGTTAAGCGTAAATTTTAATAAATTCTTAATACTTTGTCTTTTTTTTTTAATTAATGTAATGACATTTTCTAAATCATTGCAAAATGAATGAAAAAGTTTTTCGCGAATCGTAAATTTTAATAAATTTTTAGTACTTTGTTATTTCTTTTTTTAATTAATATAATGACACTTTTTGATTGGTACTTCATATACAATACAATAAATGTCCTTGCAGAAGGAATTAATTAATTAATGCCTTAAAAATATTATTCATTGTGAGTTAAAATGGAAAATATAAAAAAGTGCCTCAAAAAAGAAACCAAAATGGAAACAAAAGTGTTAAATTACAACTGCACAATTAGCATCATTTTAAATAACGTTAATTTAAAAAAAAATAAAAACAAAGATAAGAAATTGAACTTTGATAAAACTTGATAAGATAACTAATTCAAAAGTATGAGGAAGAAAATATTAAAATACTTTGAAATTTTGATTTCAAGAAATTAATAAAACGAATCGAATTCATTAAACTCATTGAATCTCTTATTTGCTCATATAATGAATTGCTAAAAATGTTACAATTAAACTCTTAACGTTTTTAATGTTTTAAAATAACTGCAATAAATAAATTTAAAATTAATTAAATTTGACTAATTTTTTTTGAGAAATTAACTTACTTATCAAATTGTACGATACTTCAAATAGTTTAGCAACATTTTATTGTTTACATACATTGAAAAAATTGTGCAATAAAAATGTTTTGTGCAAAAGTAATTTAATATTCAAATAAATCTAATAAAGTATTTTCCCCTCTCTTTCAAAAAAGGAAACCGGATGATTTTGAAAATAATTTCTAAGTTTGTTATTTCTTTTTCCTTTTTCTTCCGAAACAACTTTAGAAGCATTCCATTGAAAATTCTGAAGTAAACAAATATATTTATTCATTTGATTAAAAAATATTTTTAAGCAATCTGTTCATCCAATCTTATCAGTGATTAAAATATGAGAAAGCTTTTTCTCTTTTTTTCTAAGCTATGTTAATATTTCAGTGGATAACAAAATAATAAAGTGTTATTAGAAGGTTGACATCCTTATTAGAATTATCAATTTATCAATCAATAATACTTGGATAAGTTAATATTATTATGAAGAATTATTAATTTTAATTTTTGCTTTAAAAATCAAAATACTGAAACTACAAATGAACCGAATGTTAGCGAGCACTGATATTATATTAAATGATACAAATTATTGATTAATTTTTTTTTCAATCAAATCGAATAATTTCATAAATTTAATTTTCTTTTTTTTGTTTTTATTTTGAATTTTATCATGAAATTGTTGGAAAGTATTTTGTTCGCATCTTTTTTTCCCTTCATTT